AGAGTGTGTTTTTAGCTTACATAAAAAATTTCAAATATATAGAAAATTTAACATAATTTTACAGTTAACACATGTATACCCACTACTTAGAATCTACTGTTAACATTTTGCTGTAATTGCTTTATTACTATCTGCCTTACTATCACCCCTCTATCCATCCATGATTTCATCTTATTTTTTGATGCATTTCAAAGGAATTGGAGACATCGTAGGCTTTCTTCTAAATATTTAAGCATGAATGTAATTAAGTAGAGTTCAATGTTTATTCTTTTCTTTTGAGGTAAAATATATATGGAGTATGATTCATAAATCTGATGTGAACATTTGCTGAATTTTGACAAATGCATACATCTGTGTATTCCAAACTTCTTCCAGATACAGAATTTACCATCATCTTGGAAAGTTTCCTTGTGCCTTTTCTCAGTTAATCGTCACATTTACCCCCAAGAGACAGCCATTATTCTGATTTTTTTTTCTACCATGGATTACTGCATACACTTTTATGTAAAGTTCTTTTTATTCAGCATATTATATTTTGAGATTTATCTGTTGTTGAATATACGAATAGTTCATACCTTTTTATTGCTGAGTAGTATCCAACTATATGAAAATCCCACAGTTTATCCATTTTCCTATTGATGGACACGTGGGCTACTTTTGGGCTCTTAGAAATAAAGCTGCTATGAAAATTGTTACATTAATCTTTTTATGCACATATGTTTTAATTCCTCCTGGGTAAATATGTAATGTGTGGAGTCCTATGTTAGGAATATGCTTAGTTTTATAATAAACTGCTAGACTTCTGCCTAAAGCAATTGTACTATTATACTCCTGAAACAGTATATTAAGAGTTTCATTTGCTCTTCATCCTCGTCAATATTTGATATTATCAGTCTTTCAAAAGTTTGCTTTTATGTATAGTGGTAGCTCATTGTAATTTCTATTTTCCCAGTGACAAATTGGGAAAATATTAATCTCTTTCAATATGTGTGTTGGCCATTCATAAACTTTTTAAAAGTGTCCAAATCTTTCACCCATTAAAAAATGTGATTGTCCTTTGTTGGGTTGTAGGTGTTCTTAATATATCTTGGATATCAGTTCTATGTTAGATACATGTTTTGTGAATAATTTCTCCCAGTTTGTGACTTGCCTATTCATTTTGGTGATGTTATTTTTTTATGAGCAGATGTCTTTAAAAATATTAATAAAGCCCAAATATATCCATTTTTTCTTTTATGGTTATTGCTTTCTGTGTTCTAAGAATCCTTTGCCTATCTCTAAATAATAGCTTTATGATTTTAGCATTCATATGTTGTTTGACTCTTGATTTATTTTGAATTAATTTTCACATACAGGGTGAAGCACAGATTAAGGATAATTTTTTAAAAAGTGAATATCTATTTGTTCCACCACCACTTGTTGAAAAGACTTCTCTTTACTCATTTATGGTTTGGTCCAAAAAAATGACCGTATAAGTGTAGATCTTTTTCTGGACTACCTATTCAGTGTCATTGATCTGCCTGATGATACTTACGAGAGAACCATACTGTCATGATTTCTGGAGATATAGAGTAAGTCTTGAGTTCAGGTCATATAAATGCTCCAGCTTTTTTGTTAGTTTCCAAGATTGCTTTGGATGTTCTAAGCTCTTTGTATTACCATATGCATTTTAGAATGAGCTGCTCAATTTCTACAAAAAAAATGCGTGCTAGAATTTGAGGTTTTGTTGTCTCTTAAGGACATTATAGGGAGAATCAACATTTTGACAATATTGAACTTTCCACTCTATGAACATGGTTTATCTCTACTTGTTTAAGTTTTAATTTTTTAGAGTAACTTTTGTAGTTTTCAGTGTCTTTTATTAAGGATTTTGGGTCTATGTTCATGAGGTATGTGGTCTATAATTTTCTTTTCTTGTAATTTCTGTTAGGTTTTGGGATTAAGATCATACTGCCTTCATAAAATATGTTTGGAAGTATTCCTTCTATTAAGGAAACTGTGTAAAATTGGTATTGTTTGTACCTTTAAACAGTAAACTTCACCAGTGAAATAATCTGGCCCTATAGTTTTCTTTCTGGGAGGAGTTTTGATAAGTTCAGTTTCTTTAATAGAGATAGGGCTGCTTCAGATTTTCTGCTCAATTTTTGGTCAGTTTTGATAAGTTGTATTTTTCAAAGAATTTGTTTTATGTAAAACATTAAATTTGGTGTAAAGTTGTTATAGTATCTACTTACTTAAAACAGCCTTTAGTATCTGAAATGGTGTCCCCTATTCCTTTCTGATGTTGGCAGTTTCTCTGTGTCTCTCTCTCTCTTTTTTTTTTTTTTTGATTAGCTTTGCTAGGGATTTATTAATTATACTACTTTTCAGAAATCCAATGTTTTGCTTCATTGATTTTATCTGTTTGGGATTTGTTTTCTATTTCATTCATTTCTACTCTTTACTCTTTCTTTCCTTTTGCTTTCTTTGATTTGCTGTTTTTGAACTTTTTGAAATAGAAGCTTAGATACTGATTTCATCCTTCTCTTCTAATACATGCATTCTTCTCTACATTTATTTACAAGCATTGTTTTAGTTTCATTCTCTATGTTTCCATAATTTATATTTTCATTATAATTTATTGTAAATATTTTAAAATTTCCATTGTGATTTATATACTTTTATTTTTTGACTCATAGGTTATTTAGAAGTATGTCACTTAATTTTCAAGCAGTAGGGGAGTTTCTCAATTTTTAAAAATTATTCACTTCTAGCTTAATTGCCTTGTAGTTAGAGAATATACTCTCAAAGACTTAAGTCCTTTGAAATGTATTCAGACTTGCTTTATGACTCAGCCTGTGGTTCATTTTGGTATGTATTTTGTGTATAATTTGTATATTCTGTTTTTATTTGGAAGAATACACTGTGTATATTAAGTCTAGTTGGTTAATTATGCAGTTCAAATTTGTATCTTAGTAAAAACTTTTTTTCATCTGCTTGATCTTGTAGCTATTGACAAAGGTGTGTTAGTCTTTCATGTGATTATGGATTTGTCCATATCCTCTATTAGTTTTGTATATTTTTGCTTTATATATTTTTAAGCTTTTAATTGGGTCCATTCATACTTAGAAGTATAATAATACCTTTTTGTTGGTTTGACTTTTTAATTATTAAGAAATGTCTCTATCTTTTGTTGTGTTTATTGCCGTAAGTTGACTTTGTCTGATATTGGCATAGATATGACAGCTTCCTTTTAATTGTTTTTTGGATGATATGCTTTTTCTCATCATCTTATATTTAATCTTTCTGTGACCATAAGTAGTCTTATAGTAGAGTGAATATTTAACACAATAACTATAATTTGAGTTTAAAGCTACCATCTTACTATTTGTTTTTATTTTATTAATGTGCACTATGCTTTTTCTCTTACATTTTACCTTCTTTGGTTCAGTGAAATATTTTAATTATTCTTTTTCTCACTTCAGTTAACCTTTAATGGCTATCCTAGAAATCACTACATTGATTTTGAGTTATTGCAGTCAGATGCAGATTATTACTTCTGTCACTTCCTGCATAATGCAGATATCTTAAAAACTTTAACTCCATTTATCCCAGTTCTGAATCTTTTTGTTCTTGTTTTCACACATTTTAAATCTACATGTATTTTAAACTTAACAAGCTAGTAATTATTTTTATGGTCACTGTTCATCCATGTTTGCCAACATTTACCTATTTTATGGCTTTTCCTTTTTGCATTTCCATGCTTTTTTTCTAGTATCATTTTCCTTCTGTTGGAAGAACTCCCTTTTAGTATTTCTTTTACTGATAAATTCTTGTTTGTTTTTCTGAAATCACCTTTATTTCATTTTTATTTCAAACATTTTAAAATTGTGAATAGATTTCTTCATTGGCGCCTGTTTTTCAGAATTTTTAGGAAGTCATTCCATTGTCTTCTGCCATTCTTAATTTCTGTTGAAAGTTATTTCTGTCTGTTGATTGTTGCTTATTTAGATTTTTTATTTTTTCCCTCTAGCTCTTTAAAGATGTGACTTTATGTTAGGAAATTCTTGTTGCTATTATTTCAAATATTGGTTCTTTCTTATTTTCTCCTTTCTTCTGGAATTTCAGTGATATGTATGGTAGAACCTTTCAGTGGATTCCATAGACCTCTTACTCTCTCTTACATTTTTTTCAACCTTTATTTCTCAGTGCTTTGGTTTGGATATTTTTTGTTAACCTCCGTTTTAGTCCATGTTTATTCTGTTCAATCTGCTGGAGGCACCAAGTACTGACAACACTTTCCAGAAATTTTGCTAGGAAGAGTAAGGATATAGGAGCAGTAATTGGACCATGTGGGAATAAAGAGAGGGACTTGCTTATTTATTTTGGTTAGGACATACTACCATGTTTATGTTATGATTGGAATGATTCAGTAGAGAGAAAAAAATTAAAGCTGTGTGAGAAAGAAAAGGAAGATGGTTTGAGGAGGTGAGAGTGGACATAATCCAAAGCACAACTGGAAAAATTTTCCTTTGATAGAAGTGGGACATAAAGAGGATAGGCACTCATTCATGTATATCAGTGGTCTTTGAGGTGGAATTCTGGCTTAGTCAATGGAAAATATGCACCTTCTGAAAGTTTCTAGACTCTTAAACTTTGGGGGTGTGTGTGTTGGGCCTATGGGAAAGTTGTTCATGAAAAGGAGAGTCAGTGAAAGGGTAGGCTGTATTTATAGCTACCCAATTCTTTATTCTATGGTGACTTTATTCTGTGGTTACTTTATTCTATGGTGACTACATTCTTTGTACCCTTAGTGATATCTACCTTTATCTCTTAGGGTACTCAAAGTATTATAGTATTCAAGTTAAATTAATTAGATGTTTTTGTCATATTGTTAAAATTTCTGTACTATATATTTAAACATAGTTAATTCCAGATAGTGCATTTAAAATTAATTATTAATAGTATTTTGAGTAGAAAATCAAGTTTTCTAACATATTTTCCCATATTTTCTTTTACAGTTTTTTTGAGTACTAGAACAGCACAAACATGTTTCGGAATAGTCTCAAGATGCTTCTTACCGGAGGGAAATCGAGTCGTAAAAACAGATCAAGTGGTGAGTGACATGTTACATTTATTTTGTGTGATATTTTAGAAAGGGAAGTTCTATTAGGGATCTGAATTGATGCTAGAGCATTATATATTTATTTATTAAATGGTTTATTTAATTTAGAAAAAAAGAAAGTTTACATTCCTCTAGGCTGTCATACTCTTAATTAAGAGGTAGGAACCCTTGAATACTTATCAAGAACAGTCAGATAAAGGAAAGTTTGTGGAGGAAACATATTTATTTAAAATACATGAGAGAGTAATGCCTCTGTCAACTACTTATTAAAAACTTTCTAGACCTAAATTTACTTTTTGAATTAACATGTGAAATTATTTCAGTCCTAGGCACTCTTTGGGGAATGAGACTGTAAAAATAGAAACTATCCTCAGAGGGTTGTACAGGAAGTAAAATACAAATTTTAGATTTCTACAGTCATTAAAATAAAGTTTATAAAGGTTGGTTTAAGAAAAAGGAGATAATTCTTAGGAAACAAACTGTATATATACTCTTTTGGAGAAATGTTGATGAGAGATGTACTAAATATTTGTTTTCTGCTAATGGGTTATAGATATTTATTCTTTTAATCTTTTCAGTTTCCCAGTTTTTCTGCATTTTACAAGTTATTTTATTTTTTTGTTAGTTTTTGAGATTTGCCTTATAGTTCAGCATATGATCAATTTTGGTGAATGTTTTGGATTCACCTGAAAATAATGTGGATTCTGAAATTATTGGGCGCAGTGTAGTTAATGGTGGTACTCAATTTTAGATCCTTTTTTATTTTAAAGAAATTATTTACTGAGAAAGATATGATTAAATCTCACACTATGATTATTGAATTGTCTGTTTCTCCTTCTTGTTCCTGACAGTTTTTGCTTTATATATTTAGAAGCTATTTTATTAGATACATTGAAATTTAGAATTGCTTTATCTTCCTGGTGAATTTGACTTTCACCATAATGAAATGTCCTCTTTATTTCTAATAATGTCTTTTGTTTGAAAGCTGACTTTGTCTAATATTACTATAGCTATCCTAACTTTCTCTTGATTAGTGTTTGCATAGTATGATTTGTTCTATTCTTTTACTTTCAGCATTTCTATATGGTTATACTGTTAATGGGATATATTGAGCTTTCTTCTTTTATTCATTCAGACAGGTTTTTTCTCTTAAGGGAGATGTTGGTTAATCCACATTAATTCAACTAATAATATATTTGGATTTAAATATAACATATTACAATGTACTTTCTAATTGTCCTTCCTGTTCTGTGTCCTTTCTCCTTTCTTGCTTAATTTTAGATTGATCAAAAACATTTTTTATTATTCCATATCTCTTCTTTTTGTCCTGGAAGTTACATATTCTTGTAATTCTTTCTGTGGTTACCTTAAAGATTCAATTATCAATTTAAGTTTGATGTCAGTTGGTACTTTTACTTTCTTCTTGGACAATGCAAGAGCTTTAGATTCTTTTCACCTGTGTATGTATTTTGAACTCCACAAGACATTATTATTGTTTTATGTAGTCACCATTATTTAGGTTTACCTATATATTTGATCATTACATTGATTTTCTTTCCTTCCTTCATTCCTCGCTTTCTTCTAGATGGGATAACCTTTTTTTTTTGTCTGGAGAAGACTTTTTATCATTTCCTTCCTGTGGCAAATTTACTTATCTTTATGTGAAAATGTCCTTATTTTGCCTTTATCTTTTGTAGGATATTTTTGCTGGGAGTAGAATTCTAGGCTGGCGGTTATCTTCTTTCAGCACTTTCAAATATAGTTCATTGTCTTCTGGCTCCTTGAATTATTTCTGGTGAGAAGTCAGTTGTTAGTCTGCTGCTTCTTTAAAGGTGATCTGTCTTTTTTCTCCTTTTTTTTAGTTTTCTAGATTTACACTGATGTGCCTAGGAGTGGTTTTCTTTTTTTTCTTCCCTTTTTTTTTTTTTTAAATTATTAAAGTACAGTTGACATACAATGCTATATTAGTTTCAGGTATACAACCTACTCATTGCTCACCATGGTAAGTGTAGTCACCATCTGTTGCCATACAACATTATTACAGTATTACTGACTATATTCCCTATACTGTACTTTCTATCTCCGTGACTTATTTATTTTATAACTAAAAGTATGTACCTCTTGATCTCCTTTACCTATTTTGCCCATCCCCCAAACCCCTCCCTTTTGGCAGCCACCAGTTGGTTCTCTGTATTTGTGAAATTGTTTCTGTTTGTTTATTTGGTTGGTTGGTTTTTTCTTTTAGATTCCACATATCAGTGAAAACAAATAGTGTTTGTCTTTCTCTGTCTGACTCATTTCACGTAGTATAATACCCTGTTCCATTTTTTTTTTTAAGATTTTATTTATTTATTTGACAGAGAGAGAGCGCACAAGCAGGGGGTAGTGGCAGAGGAAGAGGGAGAAAGCAGGCTCCCCACTGAGTGGGGAGCCCGATGCAGGGCTCAATCCCAGGTCTCCAGGATCATGACCTGAGCCAAAGGCAGACACTTAACTGACTGAGCCACCCAGGCGACCCTTTTAGTGTGTATTTCTTAAGGACAAGGAGATTCTTTTACATAACCACAGTACAGTTATCAATCTCAAACAGATTAACATTGATATAATGCTTTTATCTAATCTACCCTTTTCCAAATTTTGTCAATTACCCAGTAATTTCCTTTGTAGAATTTTCCCCTTTGTTTCCAAGATCTCATCAGGATGAGGCATTGCATTGCTTGTCGTATCTTTTTACTCTCATTCAATTTGAAGTAGTTTCTCTGCCTTTTTAGACAGTTTTGAAGAATAAAGGGCTCTCTCTCCCTTTGAAAATAAGCAGAATGCCCCTAATTTTGTGTTTTTTTGTTTTTTTGTTTTTTTTTTATGATTAGATGCAGGGTATGTATCTCTGGTCTGAATGTTACTTAAATGTATGTTTTTTCTTTTGGGGGCATCACAACCAGAAGCAGACAATGTCTCATCATTCATTAGTGATTTTGATGACCAATCAAGGTATTCTCCAGGTTTTTCTGCTCTATGGATACTGAATTTCCCCTTTCAACTTAAAAACAATTGACAGATGCACACCATTTTATTCTTTTTATGGTTTCCAGTTCTTTGTCAGTATTCTCAATCTTGTCTCTTATCTCCCCAAATGTAGTAAATATATTTATATCTATATTTATCTAAAAATCTGTGTCTGATAACTAAATATGTCTGTTTTTGTTGTCTTTTTCTTGGTTTTTACTAATGTTATTTCATTTCCTCCTGTGTCTAGTTAATTTTTTGGAGTAAGCATTTTATTTTGGATTAAATTTAGATTTAAAAAAAAGATTTTATTTATTTATTTGACAGAGAGAGAGAGATAGCGAGCGAGAGAGAGAGAGCACAAATGGGGGGAGCGGCAGGCAGAAGGAGAGGGAGAGGCAGACTCCCTGCCAAGCAAGGAGCCTGATGCGGGGTTCGATCCTAGGACTCTGGGATCATGACCTGAGCCAAAGGCAGATGCTTAACCAACTGAGCCACCCAGGCACCCCTGGATTAAATTTAGATTTAAAGAAAAGTTGCAAAGATAGTACAGCCAGTTCTCATATACCTCTTACCCACTTTTATCCATTGTTGCATCTTATTTATTATGGTCCATTTGTCTAAACTAAGAAACCAACATTGGTACACTACTATTTATTAAACTCCAGATTTTTATTTGGATTTCATTAGTTTTTCCATTCATGTCCTCATTCTACTTCAGAATCCAATCCAGAGAACTGCATTGCATTTAGTTATTTTGTCTCCCCAGACAGTCTGAGTTTGGCAGAAGACAATAATCGACATCATTCCACCGGTCACTTTTTGATTACACACACACATACTCATATATGTCAGAGATCCAAGCTGCCTCCAAATTTGACATTTAAAGAAATGGTTTGCCCAAAATTTGTTTTGTGGCCTAGAACCATGATTTTCTTAGACACCTTTAGCTGTTCACTTTTGACACCAGCACCAGCATTTTCTCTCACTTCACAACTATTACTTCATATAAGATAACTATAGAAATCAATAAAGCCATAATAGGATACAGTTGTGGATAGTCTTTGCCCTGAGTACCAGATAAGTAACTTAGGTGTACATACTACTCTTATTAAAGGTAGGCATCCTATTTTCACTTTAGCAAAATTACAAATTATTATATGCTAGGCTTCTGAGTAGTACTGCTCTGGTAGAGATATTATTAAATTCATACATGTCAAGGTTCTACTGTAGTATTAAAGCTAATTCCTTTGATTTACTAGGTATTTAATTATGTCAATAATGATTTTGAGGGGTCTTATTTTAGTATTTATTCTTCTCCACGGTTTTTCATGTAAAATGTTTATAATTTAGAGTAGTTATAAGTTAGTTATAAAAATAGTGCTTTGTATTCTGTATGAAAAGAACCCTATTGTAGAGAAGCAGTACTTTTCTTCAAACGTACTCCAAGGCAGGAAATTCTAGAGCAAGAATAAATTTTATATTTAAAAAAAAGCGTGCTTATGGAATGACATCATTAGTGTTTTCATCATTACTTTTTTTTTTCTTTAATTGTTAATGAATAATTGGGTGGACTTTATTCTTTATATTAACTTTTGTTCATAGCGTATTTTTAGATTAATAAGGTGAGTTTTCTCATAGGCGTAATTATTTGTTTTGTATTAGAAAACCAACTTAGTATTAGTTTAAAAAGAATTTGTAATAAAGGGAAGTTGTTATAATTTGTCTTTTAAATAGTTGATCTGAACTTTTGTGTAGGCCACTAGATAAATATTTCATAGAAATAGATTTTATAGCATATAATAACAAATCAATTTTCTCAGGCAATGTTTTTCCCCAAGGATGTGTGAATATCAGTTTTGAATTTTATAACTTAATTCATATTTTCCATGTAAAAATTGTTTTTGACGCATGTGGATGCATCCTAAGTTTTTATGAAAAAACAGATGTATGAATCTCTTGAATTATGAGTTATAAAGGAATTC